CAAAAGTTTGGAACTTGACTTGTTATAATTGCTTGAATTCCAAAATAGACTTTTGCTTTTATTTGAAGATTGAAACTATCTGGTCAAAGATAGTGCATTCTTCTCATTTGCACAATCCTCCTCATCATGATTTCTTTATTAGATGTTGAATAACTGTCCTTATTAATTTAGTTCTATTGCTGGTCAGCAAACTCCAAAAGAAATGTCATTGTTGATCTTTTATCTTGGTCAAATGATTGCTTGATCAAGACAAAAGATAAGTTCATATGAGCTTTGGCAAAATACCATGAACAGCCGATCCATTGTTTGGTCGAGTAAAACTGCTGTTAATCACTCTATCAAGCATGAAGCTTCAATATCTTTTGTGTTAGTTGCATATTTCAAACTATCATCACCAAGTCCTTGTGGTTATGATTCTAAGACTATCTCCGTTGTTTGCCTTAGCATACGGGAAACATTTTACTAAAACAAATGTTTTTCTTAATATGAGAAAAACAAATGTAAAGAAAAACTTTTTCTTAGCCTGGTGAAATAGTATATATTTTTAAGCAAGAGATTCTGATACTTTAACAACACATGGTCTGTTAGTTTCAGAAGGTTACTGCCAGTATTGTGTATATCACAAGCTTTGTTAAGCACATGGTCTTCTTGTGGCAGCAAATTATATTAGTTGTTTGATACAGTGCTCTTTTACAAAAAGAGATAATAAATTATTCTGGTCTTTTGCAGGGTCCTCCCTTTTGTCAATGATCTTTTTCATTTATGACCATCTATTCATAGTTTTTCCTATTTCTTCAGGTTTTGGTTAACATATACTTGTCTAATATGTTCATCTTATTATAGCCTATTAATAAACATGCAAAGAAAGTAGGTAGTCACATGCCTTCCCTTTGCCTTTATTCTTTATGTTACAGAATGTTAAAATATTACAGTATAATCCCTGTCTGTACCTTTCTTTGCCAGAGCTAGTTGACCCATTGTGCCTACAGATACTTAGTTGGCCTTTTTATCATAAGCTGGCTGGGTTATAGTACTGATGGATTCGTCACATCTTCTATTGACAAGATCATCAGAGGACTAGTCCCTTTGAATTACTAGGCACTAACATAGCCTCTTATTAAAGAATAAACAGCAAGGAAACTTGCTCATCAATGTATAATGATGTAGCAATGAAAACAATCCAAGCCACTTAAATAAGACCCATAGTATTTATGGTAAAATATTAATATCATTAATTCGTTATATTTTTATTGTTTAACTTAATCTTAGTTCTTTTTCTGAAACAGGATCTAAAGATTGATAACTTGGAGACCAAGCATTTTGTTCTCGTTCATGGAGGTGGCTTTGGTGCTTGGTGCTGGTATAAAACTATAGCACTTCTAGAGGACAGTAGATTCAAAGTCAGTGCTATAGACCTCACAGGTTCTGGAGTTAATTCTTTTGATACAAATAAAATTACAAGTCTTCCAGAACATGTAAAGCCACTTACTGATTTCCTTGAAACCCTTGGAGATCTAGACAAGGTGTGTACTCTGCTTATTTATTTCAAAAGAATTTTTTTCATCTGTGTCTTAATAAGCTCTTAAAGTTTATAAGGGGTTCATTTTTTCTCATCATGCCCAAATTTTGTTTCTACCTTTTTTAAGAACATCTATAAATAATTTTCATTTTCATTCTTATTACAAGAAAAGACATCTGCTTAATCTTTCTATGATTATCATTAAGATCATAATCAGAGTGCGCCATTTGTATCTAGGTTCCTTCCGATATTATCTTATTCATTATTAAATAGTTGCAGCAATAGGTTCTTTCTTTTTAATTCATCTACTCACTTGTCTGTGATGAATTTAAGGAATTTGCTAAGTTGGACATAGGTACTTATTAATCAGACATCTCAAATGAACAAGCAATAATGTTCTTTGAAAATATTTTGTAAGCTACACAGTTGCATGAAAACAGTGTAATATCTTTTTGGGTGACAATTGACCAGCCTACTAAGGCTACTGTAGACACTATATTCTAGTGTCCAGATGAACTTCCTATCATCACTTAAAATAAGCTAAATACTTCAAGAATTTGTAGCATAATAGTTTGCTCAAGTTGTCTTATGTGTAAGTGCATCATTAATAGGTTCATGAGTTCATAGAACTTGCCGAACTTAATGTATCATGTTGGTTGATTATTCATGTAAACTGGTTTTCCTATTAAGGTAGAATCACTGTGTTATCTCAATGTCTCTCATCTTGGAAGTGCTTCTTTGAGCTCAACAACTTTTAAATTTCTCAGGTGATTTTAGTAGGGCATGATTTTGGTGGTGCTTGTGTGTCATATGCGATGGAAATGTTCCCTTCTAAAGTTGCCAAAGCCATTTTTCTCTGTGCAGCAATGCCAACCAATGGCCAGAATACTCTTGATATGTTTTCACGAGAGGTTTGAATCTGTCCTTGTAACTTGTCCTGAAATAAATTTGACAAGTAGAGTAGAAATAAACATATATTTGAATTTTGTCACAAGACTTTTGAGACAGGTGCATCACTTCACCCCATTTTTCATAATTTGGTATAAGCACGATTTTGTATGTAACGATATATGAATTTTTGACCTTTAACAAGATCTTTACAGGAATTGGAATGTTGATTTGTTTGGCATGAAGTAAAAACATAACAAGACCCTAGAAATTTTAAAGTCTAGTCCATGTGAATGAGCAAATGGCCAACGTAGCATGAAGAAGTAATAAAACCTACATGTACATATGTTTGACAAAACACCATTTCCTAATCTTCTTTTTTTACTTTTTCTTTGAAAACTGGCTTGCCAGTTCTAAGCTCCATTTCTACTGTAGGCAGGTATGAATGATCTGATGCAACAAGCACAAGTTTTTGTGTATGCAAATGGAAAAGACCATCCTCCTACAGCTATTGATCTGGACAGGTCTCTACTGAAAGAGTTGCTGTTTAATCAGAGTCCAGCTAAGGTATACTATTACCGGTGTTCGAGACTAACCACACATTTAATCTTTTGTTATTTGTGCTTACCTTCATTTACTCAATTTCTCTCTTTTGGTTCTGTAGGATGTGGCATTGGCTTTGGTGGCCATGAGGTCTATTCCCTTTGCTCCAGTGTTGGAGAAACTCTCACTCACGGACAAGAATTATGGTTCAGTAAGGAGATTTTACATAGAAACCACCGAGGACAATGCAATACCCATTTCTCTACAGCAGAGCCTGTGTGGTGTCAATCCACCAGAGAAGGTTTTCCGGCTGAAAGGCTCCGATCACTCACCCTTCTTCTCAAAGCCACAAGCACTGCACAAGCTCTTGGTGGAGATATCATCCATCCCCTCGAGTCCGACCCAGTGAATCGTCCAATCACCATTGCTGCAGCCGATTGCCTAAATCAAACAAGACATCCATCACATGCTTTGACAAAAGGCACAGTCCAAAGTGTTCCAACAACTTGGACTCCTTGAATCGTGACGGCAATGGCAATCAGGCATCTTATGTTCTTGTCTGTACACCTGCTCACACCTATTTGTAGTCCTTTAACATATTTCCTCACATTATGCGTTAGGTGGTGAAGTTGATACATGAGAAAGGCATGAAAACTTCTATGATGAAAAAGGTTGATGGCATGTGATAATTCTTCTTTCAGCCCTATCACCATTGGAAGATCCCTTTGTTTGTGTGGATAATACTCAATCTGGTTTCAGGGTTTAATTGAAAAGGCCATCTGTTCTTTGTGGTCCGAAAGATTCAGTTGGCATGATTTGTTCCATTCACAGCTCAGATTGAACAGGAAGTTTGGTAGCATGTCTTCTTCCTCTCCAACTCCATGTCAACCGAAAGCATATCTACAAGAAATAGTACATTACATTCCTTAACCATCATCATCCTGGTCCTCATGTTTGCCCTTTCCTATTGCTTCTGGTTATCATGTCCTTATCTACATAATGTCACAACTATGAACTATGGATGTGACACCAGCCTCATCATACATTGACCAAACTTTTCATAGTTCCAATTACGCTCAAGAATAACATTTTAATATGACCTCTTTCTTTAGTATCAATCACAGTTGATACCTTCTTATCAAACAATACAGAAGTTGAACGAACCCCCCGAATGAATCCATCCGATCGACATTTCGGGTTTAATTATAACTTCAAATCATCGAGTCTCTCGCATGCTTTAGATTGATTTTTTTTATCATCTTAATTATCGTCATTGTTGTAGGATTGTTCTTTTTCTATCATCTAATTACCGTCCTCATCGTGCAGAGGTATCGATCCGTGCAATATTTGGGGAGAAATGGGACATTTAGAATGAGCCGCCGAAAAGTGGATGAGGTCATAACTGGACTATGGTGCCGGTAAACCACGGTCAGGTCGAGTCTAAACCGACCGACGAGCATCTGGTCCCCGCGCGTTTGCACGCCCTGATCAGAGCGATCAGATCCGTCCGGTCGCGTGGGTACCGGAATGAGAACAATGGCGTCACCGTCAGATGCTCCTCGATCACGTCCCGGGACCAAACGAACGGTGGATGTTGACGGGTACAGCGTGGGGAGCGCTTTTTTTGCGCGAGGGCGTATCCCCCCCGTGTGGGACCCTGGGACTTGATCCGCTCCCAGTGTCACCTGCTTGTTCAGTACCCACTCCTTCACTCGTATGATGATTGGTAACGTCCGGTGTTTGCGTGTAACCCACCTGTGAGGCCCATGACTTTTTCGTATGTTCATGTTAGCGGGTACGTAGAGCAGGTCGATATGGGTCCCACCTCACCATCGTTGATTTATTCCGAAGCATCGCAAAAACTATTCGACCCGAACGGACACTCGTCTGCTGTGGATGCGTAGATCGCACAAGACTCGAGTGGGACCTACGAAAGGGCTTATGAATGCGTCATCTGGTATGACGTTGGGTCAGTGCAGCATTACCAAACTTTTCGTTTATTTATCCCTCGCCACAAATTTTTGTTTTCATTCCATCTATAAATAGCGGGAAAAAAGGGGGAGAATTCGATTCGCTTTCCGCTTTAAATCCCCATTCCCTCTTTCTCTCGCTTTGCGAGCTTCGCATCGCCTCTCGGAGCGCACAGAGGAAGCGGGAGGTGCGAAACCCTAGCCTTAGACATGCGCTTCTGTCTCTTTAATGTCCTGTTTTTCTGCGTTGTTACTGCACTAGTGTCTTGATTGCCTTTGGAATAGCGTCGGGATCATTGCTTTTTAGCTTCCCTGTGCTTATCGCGACCCCTTGGGATCGTCCGCGGTCGTCCTGGTCTTTCTTCTCTCCGATCTAACGCTCCGTTGAGGCATTTCTAGCAAATCACATGGTTTTTGGCGGTGGATCTTTGATTTTGCCTTCTCCGTTGGTTGATTCGGCATGGGAATTGGGGGCCGTACTGCGGGGTTCTCATTTCTTTTTATAATTGTTTTTCCTTTATTTCACATTTGTTTTCCTAGTTGTGTTCTTGGTGACGTGGTTATTAGGAGTTTCTAGGATGTTGGAGCGACAATTAATGGAAAATGACTGGAAACCATTTATTGGGTTAAGGTGACAAATATGTTATCGTTGAAGCCGTGTTTGAATTTTTGTCATCTAGATATATGGTATTTTTGGGCATTTCGATGCCGCCAGTATTTCTGATGGATAATTGATGTACCAAAGTACTGTTATGAGATATGAAATACGTGGTGCATGCTTTTCCAAATATTTTAGTATGATCTGCACAAGGAAAATGGAAGCAACTTTAGCAGGTGATGGCCTATTATATTGACGTTGAGGATCTAAAATGGAGATCAGATTTGGATCTCGAATTCTTCTGCATGGGGAATGATAGGCTGCATTGTGTAGAATTCTTCCGTTTTCTCTTCTTCTCTCTTCTCTCTCTATTCTAAAGCTGTAATAGTTAGGGCCAGCTGGGCTCTTGTTGGGGACTTATTTGGCCTTCTTTAGATGGAGGCACACTCTTTGTTTTATATGGGGAGGGGTGCCCTAAGTCCTTATTAAGGACTTTTCTTATAGGGTGTGCACAGTTAGGATTTTTCTTGTAGGGTTGCTGCACCCCCTTTGCTTGGTGGCTGCCCTTATTTGGGTAAGGCCTGCCCTAATTCGAGTCCTTTAGAACTTGGATTGAGGTGAGTGGGTTATTGGAATTTGTGCTTCACTTGGCCAAACATGGTAAAATGGCATTAAGATCATCCTTGATCATGACTCCCCTAATTAGGCTATTCATGTCTTGTTGAATCTTGCATTGAAACTCAACTTTAGTAGCTTTGGTGAACTGTCTTGTTGCACTTGTTTTCTACCCTTTGCATCCAATTCGACAGACGATTTTGATGCCTTGTCGGGTTGTTGTGGATTTCTTCTCGACGATACTATTTTTTTCAAGGGGTTTCTCTTGGTCAGCCATTAAGTTTTTGATAGATGATAGCGTTTTGTTCGGCTCATCGTCTTACATAGAAGGCTCGAACAACTTTAAGTTCTCGATGTTCACAATTGAATATATCACTATGTAGGGCAGTAACTCGAGTTGACATGCATTGTCTTCAATTCGCCTCAGGACTTTAATGGTCCATATCAGATGTGCTTTAGCTTCTTTTTATCTCTTTTGAGTTGTTTTTTCCCATGGTGTAGCCATATGAGGTCTCTTTCATAGAATTGTCCTTCGACACGATGGTGATTGTGTTGTTCTTTGTATTTCTGTTGGCTTTATTGGAGTTGCTTCCCAACCACTTCATGCACCTTGTGAATGTTCTTGAATTGATCATAAATTTAGATCAAAAGGACTTTGAGATAAATAACCCAAGCATATTTTGTATGGTGATTTGTTGGTAGAACTGTGTTGCTTGGTTGAAAGCAAACTATAAGTACAATAGGCTTTCATTCCTTGTTTTCGGACGTCAGTAGTTGTATCCTCGAAGGAGATGAACCATGGTGTGGTTCACTACTTCGGTTTGGCCATCGGTTTGCAGATGGAAAGGTGTGCTCTTCTTCAATTTGGTGTCCATTAGATCCAGAGTGAACTCCAAAAGTTGCTCAAGAAATGCTCGTTATGGTTGCACATGATGGAACTTGAAAGGTTGAAGCGTGTTCACATGTGTTGGAAGAATAATTGGGCTACTTCTACGGTGATTGTTTTCTTGCAAGACATAAGTATCACCATTTTTTAGAACTATTTGACTACCGTAAATATGCTCTCCCATGGTTGTGACGGAACGGGCAACAAAGTGTACAATCCTAATTTTCAATTGGTTGGTTTTGAAGTAATGCAAAGGAGGCAATCTCGTACGAACCAAGCCATGTCTTGCTGCATTCGGGGCTAGTAAACATGTCATTGTAGGTTTGTTAAAGTCTTGTTCAAGTTGAAATGTCTTGTGACTTTTGATGAGTGTGCTTTTCACATCCAATTCATGCGATTTGCTTTCTTCAGTATACAAAGCGAAGCATCTTTGTAGAGCAGTCCTCCTTGGAGCATGAATTTTATGTCAATTCTTGCTTTGACTTTCTTCATGATGTCTTTGAATTCTAGGTCTTCCATATACATGTTTGTATAATCCTTGTGTGAAAACTAAGTATGACCTGCATATGCACAAGCAAGCAAAGACTTGCGATAACAGATTAGCTAGTTTCTTTTGTACTCCCTTTTTATACTTGATTACTAGGTTGAAATGTTGTAGATATAGCATCCACTTCATGTTTCATGTTTGCTGCATTTGGATTGTGTCTGAAGGTATTGAAGTGGTTGATGGTTGGTGTAGATGATCGTCTCCTTTCTTAGGAGATATACGTGCCTATGTTTGATAGCTTGGTGTAGCGTGAGCAATTTCTTTGTCATACGTGGGATATTTCTTTTGAGATCCTTAGAACATCTCTGAGCGATACACCACGAGTTAGCCATTTTGCATTAAAACAACTCTCATTGTGTATGGCCTCATTGTGTATGGTGATGCATCTGCCTCCAACTCGAATGGTGCTTCATCAAGTGATCGAACACCTTTTGCATGTGCTCAACATGCTCTTCTTGCGATTTGTTGCAAATGATGATGAATTCTCCAATATAAGGGCGTAACACATCATCATGAGTAGCATGAAGGTGGCCATTGCATTGCATAGACCAAAAGGCATCACCAACTACTCGAACAATCCTTGCCTTATCTTGAATGTTGTTTTCTAGGTATCTTCTCACATTCGAACTTGATGATATCTTGATTTGAGATCCAACTTTGAGAAGACCTTGGTAGGTTACAGTTGGTCTAGCAAATCATTGATTCATGGCAACGAGTATCAGTTCTTCATCATGTTCTTATTCAAGGCGTGATAGTTGATGCACATGTGCCAACCTTTGTCTTTTTTTAGCATCATCACATGAGCCGCAAGGGGAACTGCTCGGCTGAATGGTTCCACTCTCGATAAGCTCAACAACTTGTCTTATGATTTCTTCACTTTCCACGATTGATCTCCAGTATATGCTAAGATTCGACAAAGGGGCATTAGAGATAAGCTAGATTTCATGCCCCATTGTACATCATGGGGAAAGATGTTGCATTCTTAAAAAAGGTTTTGATACTTGTTGATGAGCTACCGTAGGCCTTTATCTTCTATGGTGTTGTAGGTCAATGCCAAGGCTAATGCTTGTGTTGCTATTATAATCAATCGGATGAGCAAGAGCACAAACTTTCCGCATGCGTTCACCATCCTCTTTGCTTGGGTAATCGTCACTAGGTCGATTGGTTGTCCACTTCGATCCTTTACGATGAACTTCTTTTCGTCCTATTGGAACATATATTGTTGCGATCAATAGTAGTAGATGGCCTTTCAGTCCTATAAGTATGGACTTTAGAAAATGATGACATATGTCAAGGGGCACCACCTCAGTTGTCACCTCGTCGATGTACTTGTTGGTGATTGTAAATTTGAATGTGCATTGGTAATCTATCCTCATCTCGACGTCTTTATGGATCCACCCCAACGGATATGGCTTCGAATGAGGAGTGGTCTCGAGTCTAAGTTTTTGCACTAAGCTTGTTGAGATGAGATTCGTTTGGCTTCTAGTGTTGACGATTGCATTGATGACCTTTTGTTTCACTCGGATCTTAAGATTGAGCAATTCTTCTTGAATTTTTGGATCGGGTGTTAGATTCGAATTTATAACCTTTGGTTTAGCCATGAACGATGAACTCAGATTCAGGTGTGAAATCGGAGCTAGTTCGGTTTGATCATCTCCTACTATTGTGATCATTGTACGTCGATTTTGATTGCTTGTCTTCCACTTCTTCCAAAGGAGTTTGGGTTGAACCTTTCAACACTTCTCTTGTGTATATCCTGCAATTTTACAATGATTGCAAAACAAATCATGTCTTTTGGAAGAAGATGAGGTTTTGTCACTCTCAGGATTCTTTTTGGCTTTTGGGTACTTCCCTTTTGCTTTCCCCGTGTTCTTCTCGATGCAGGTTCAATTATTTTTCTCAATTGTCATTGCCATCACACTCGTCGTTGTGATGTTGAGTTTTGAGGAGGCTCAGTTCTGTGTTTATCTGGGCATGGAGGCCAACAGTGTATTCCATTATCATTGAGTGGTCGTTGAAAGAAATTTCGAGTGCCATTGCTTGTTGTCGGAACTTGGTGGTGTATTCTTGCACGGATTGATCCTTTGGTGTAGGTAAAGTCACATCCTCTATCTTTCTTCGAGATACTCTTTTGGGTAGAATTCTTCTTATGTGAGTATTTTGAATCGTGTCCATGGCATGTCTTCTTCATTTTTGGTTCGAAGATAGGCTTTCCTCCATATGAGTGCGTGTCCGGTCAACTTGAGTCATGCAAGCATTACCCTATCCTTGCTGTTGTAGTCATATTGATCAAAATAAGTATCAAGTTGATCTATCCATGAGTCTAATACCTTAGCATTGAGGGTATGTCGATGTGACATGAAAGGGTTGGGTCCTTGTTGGAATGTTCTGTTCAGCAACAACTTCTTGTGGCTGTGTGTGTATCTTGGATGGAGACATCTCTCTTCTTTGCTATGATGTTCTTCATGTGATCATTCATCACTGTGGGATTGAGGGTATGTCGATGTGAGGGTAATACCTTAGCATTGAGGGTATGTCGATGTGACACGAAGGGGTTGGGTCCTTGTTGGAATGTTCTGTTCGGCAACATCTTCTTGTGGCTGCGTATCTTGGATGGAGACATCTCTCTCTTCTTTGCTATGATGTTCTTCATGCTATCATTCCACATTGTGGGATTGGTTTAGATATCCATCTAGCTCATGACAATCTCCATCTACTAGGTTAATATTGTCATTTGGGCAGTGAGGTCAGCCAATGTCGTTGGGTTGTTGGTTGCCATCCCGTCTGTGTTTCTTCTTTTGGATGATTATAGCATGAACTCCAACTTCTATAGTTCTTCGCTCGATTCTTCGTGTCCTTGTCTCGTTGTCACCATCCAGAAGATCGTTGTTTGATACCACCTGAACTGTATGGGGTTTGGGTTCAATAATCCGTCGACTTGATAACACCTTTCGGATGGAAATTTTGACATAGGAGAGAACTAATGTAGAAAGCCCAAGCGTAAAACTGAAAGAAAAAACCTTTATTGTTTGTAAAGTCAAAGGACTAACCACAAGACTTGAAATAATGAAATAAAAACATGATAGAAAGCTTATATATACATATGAATGCAAGTTATCTTTAGACAACACTTGGGTGCTCTCACTAGTTTGTGTATCGTTGTCAGTTTTGGTCTCCTCTTTCGCTACTGGAGCCTCCTCCTAGGGTTTGGACAATAGGCAGCAGGCTTTGGGTACTTGCAGCAACTAGGCAAAGCTTTTGACGGGAAGCTTTAGTTACTAGAACTTGAGTAAGAGGCTGCGGTGGGAAGGATGGGTTGCATCATGCAGAATTCTTCCCTTCTCTCTTCTCCTCTCTTCTCTTTTCTATTATAAGGCTGGAATAACTAGAGCCGACCGGGCTTGCTGGGGACTACTTTGGTTACTTTACGATAGGAGCACACCCTTTTTTTATAGGATGAGGATTGCCCTAAGTCCTTAGGGTTTAAGGACTTTCCTTGTAGGGCGTGCACAGATAGGATTTTCTTGCCGCACCTCCCTTGCATGGTGGCTGCTCTAGTTCGAGTCCTATTAGGACTTGGATTGAGGAGAGTGCGTTGCTGGAATTTAGGCTTTGCTTGGCCAAACAGGGTTGAATGGTGTTCAGATCGTCTTTGATCAATAACGTCCTACTCTTTTAGCTAATAGGACACAGGAGTTTTCAGTTATTTGGATATTAGTGAATGGTATGTCAGAATTTTATATCTGTTCTTTAATATTCTTTTTAGAACTGTTTGTGTTGAGTGAGCCTTGCAATATGGCTTAGACCGTCTTGGACTTCATGATTTGTTCTAAATGATGGTCACCTTCATGCCCTATAAGCCTTATATATTTAAATTTTAGTATTCAAAAACTTCTTGGTGCACCCAAAGTCAATGCAACATTGCAAAACTTGTTATCCACGCACACATATCCGCCAATCATTTGACTACTAGTGGGAATTAATATCTCCAAAGAGAAAATAGAAAACAAGAGAGAAAGATGATGATTTAGTCTGTCATCAAACCAAAGCATTTGTCTCTTTTATATATATTTATAGGACTAAAATAGCTAATCTTACAATGAAGGCGTCGTTGTGGCATTTTAGTATGCCTATAATGGCTATTGAAAATGCTAGAACAAGCCAGTTTTGCCCTAGGCCACACATAGATGATAAATCTCCATTAGAGTTGGGCAAGTTAGGGTTTGGGTCAGCCCTATGCCACTTCATGTTAAAAGTTTGTTATTAATGTTATTGTCGAATCCACTTTAATCGTGACTGCCAATGGATACAGTAGGATCAAAGTTGTAGATCATGTATAAAAACTGTTATTTGAAATTGTTGGCTAAATTAATTGATTCATCACTCGTGAAATTATTCGACCATGGTATTTGAGGCCAAAATAAGCCACTTAAGGTTATGGTCACCTAAGGAAACTATCTTTGTCCACATGCATGAACAAAAAGAGCAAATCTGTCACATGTTTTTTGTTTGTCCTCTATAATTGTATACTGGAAATACCTATCCAATTAAGGAGTTTGAGTGCTGCTGAGCAATTAAGTTTATCTTGTGGAACTATTTGAACGCTTGGACATCTGCATATCATCAACATTAGGGTGTCTCCCTGCTGAATTATTTATGGTTTGTCAAATTTATTGCTATTTTGATTTGTCTTCCTGTTAATGTACTTTTATTTTTCAACACTTGTGGCTTCTCAAAATTGGCAGCTTGTCAAGTAAAGAATGGGTCGTGGAGTAAGCAGCGGAGGTGGTCAGAGTTCTCTGGGCTACCTATTTGGTAGTGGAGAGGCTCCCAAATCTGTGGGAGAGACTGCTGCTCCAGCTCAGAAACCATCTCCACCACCACCAGTTGACAACAGCAAGCAAATTCCTGCAGGTATCCAAGGGAACCTAGCAAACAACTACCATCGGGCAGATGGGCAGAACACTGGCAATTTCATCACGGTATAATCTCACTGGCTCAAGTCGTTACATTTGCCTATGCCCCCAGCACTTTGGTTTCTGTTTTACGTCTAACTTTGGACCTGATTCAGTTGGTGAAATGATTATTATGTCACTGTGAAAAAGCAAAAGTAAAATCGACCAAGTTAACAAATTCATTTGTATTCATCTAGAAAATCGAACCATGCCTTAGTTATAATCCTTGTTTATTCAACTTTCATGAAATTCACTAGCCACCCAAGCTAAAGTCAAGTTCAGGAAAGAGCTAGCATTGAAGTGGAGTTTCTCTTCTTTCACTTTTGATACACCAAGCAAGCGGACCACTTCTGGTGTACGTCCACTTTGGGTCCTCACCTTCATCAAAATTGACAGGTCCTAATGGAAATTCAGTTCTAGATATTAAATTTGAAAGCAACTTTATCGAGTCATGTTCTGTTCTTGGAGGTATTTGATCAGATACAAACATTGATAAAATTGCTTAGGTGTTGCAATATTGATGATGCTAAAACACTACTTAAATTAAAATGCTGTTAGTCTTATTCATAAATATTCCTTCTTGAAAAGTTTGTCAATTTGCAAGTATGGAATAGGTACCAATATAGTTGTTCTGGGATACTACAAATTGATCCTTCTGACATCCAAATATAATTGTGGAATAAGTACCAATATACTTGGTCTAGTGCGTTTGCCTTCACAAGTAGAAACACCCTCCATGGCAAACCAGACTTTTCCTCTTCATGCATTTACAAAGAAGTTGCCAGTATCACAACCATTGTACAACCAACTGCATCTCATCAGCTATAGTTAGTTTCCTAGGAATAATAGTGGTGGGTGTTTTCTTGCCATGCCTCATACTGTTTGGAGCTACTTCTGACTTAGCTCATCATGCAGGATCGGCCTTCCACGAAGGTGCAAGCTGCTCCTGGTGGTGGTTCTTCCCTAGGTTATCTGTTCGGTGGTGGCGGCAACTGATGATATTCTTGCTGCTTGCAGCAGCAAAACATCGACCGAAAGGAAAAATATATCTACTTGCAGCTGCTGGGATGAAAATTTGCAATTTGTAGCTCGTAAAAGACTCATGCTTATGTATTATATGTCCATTGAAGTCTTGACTGTCACCGTTGCTTTGAACAACAAACAGAATTCCTGGCTCTTCTATTCCGACCTCTAATTAATCCCGCTGGCTCCGTATGCCATTTCTTGCTGAAGGTAAACTATTAAATACCCCCTTGTGTTTATTCTGAAATCATATATTTGTTCTAGTTCTAAAATATGGATCTAGAGACGTGGTGTAGCTGCACGTTGCAGATGGATACAAGTTTAATATCAGCAGGGACACTATCATCTATAGAATTTTTTTTTTTTTTTTTTTTTTTGCGGGTATGAGAATATATTTTGAGACTAGAATGATTTAAACGTAAATGAGATATTTAGTAAGCTTCTGATTCCCAAGGCATTGCCTTTCTTCTATTCATAAAGCTTATAAGCAAGCTCTTATGCATATAAAAATGTTGTACAATTTTTTGTTTTTTTTTTTTTTTTTTTT